GTGCACATTGCACTATCTTCTCCTGGTCTGTTAATGCACAGATGTTCTTAGTTTACACGCAGTCTAAATCGTCAAGCTGTGGGAAGCCCGTCCTGGCTGTACTGAACGGGAGGGGCTTTTGCTGGCCCTCTGCGTGCCGGTGGCCGTGTGTACTCTGCTCCGCCCCTCGGTCTGCCTGGACACCTGTGCACGGGACACCCACACATGTGATTATGGCAGCTTGGGAGCCACTCTGGATTCCTGGCAGGTACGTCCTCCAACTTCATCCTCTTGGTTCTCCTTCAAGACTTCTTGGCTATTGCAGGTCCTCTACCCTTCCACAGGCACGTCACACTCACCTGGTCAAGCTCCGCCCCACACCCCCAAAACTGCGGAAACTGTTACTGACACCCCAATAATACCGAGGCTTCCAATCCACGACATGGTGTATGTATCTCCCTGACTGCGTACGTTTAGGGGTTCATTTTTTCCCCCAGCAACGTTTTGCAGTTTTTAGTATAAAGGTGTCAGAGCCTGTCGTTAGATTTGTTCCCAGGTATGTCCTGCTTTCTGACGTTACTGTAAACATAAACGGTATTCTCGGTTTCGTTTTTTAATGGCTCGATGCTGGTTCACAAACGTAAGATCAACCACTGGGTGTGAACGCTGGGTGCTCAGCAGCTTTACTGAATTCTCTCATCAATTCCATCGATTTGTAGGTTATTTTGGATTTTTGATACAGAATCTTGCTCTCTGTAAAATGACAGTTTTAACATCTTCCTTTGTATTTCTTATGCCTTTCTTTCTTTTTCCCGCCTTGCTACACGGTTGGGAGGCCTGGCAAACAATCTCTGTAAAGATTAGGGCCAAGAAAGCCCTGCTGAGCAGTTCCACGACGGAACACATAGGGCCAAGAGTCGGAGTGGACTCCATGCGCAAGGGCTTCTTCGGTCTGGTGCTAGGACCTGTGGTAAAACAACTGAACAGAAGTAACAATGGAGCCCGGGAGGAAGGGTTCAAACATTCCACCACCGGCTATGATGCTAGTTATAGGTTTTTTTGCTGAGAGTTTTGATGAGAAAGGGGTAGTGATTTTTGTCATATGACTTTTCACCTTGGTCCTGTGAATATGGTGAATTTCACAGGCTGATTTTCTAATGTTCAACCAACTTTGTTACAGCTGTCCGTTGCTGTCGGGCTGGCCCCATCTCAGGGCAGCCCCCGCACAACAGAAGGTCATGTTGCCAGGTCCCGCGCCCGCCCCACAACCACACTGCTGCGGCCACAGGGTTTTCACCTCTGGTTTCTAGTGAAACCAGAGCATTCTACCACTAAACCATCCATGTTCCCATGAAACTAACTTAACCTTGCTAAAATAAGCCCTCTAGGTCATGGCATGTTAAAGTAAAAACAGACACAACTTACTAACATTCTGTTCAACAGTTTTACATCTATATTCATGAGCGATCCCAAAAAAACAAACCCACTGCCACTGAGTCACAATTCTGACTCATGGAGATCCCATGGGGTTGCTGTAAAGTCATAAGAGATACTGGCTTGCAATTTTCCTTTCCTATTATGTTCTTGGAGCTCTGGTGGCATAGTGCCTAAGGCATTTGACCGCTAACCAGAAGGCTGGTGCTTCAAACCTACCAGCCACTCCTCGGAAAGA